AGATCTTAAAAAACATTTTTATGGTTGCACTCTGATAATTTTGGGCCTTTGATAACATTGCTTAGAACAAAGCTGTATAATGAGACTAAAGTTTGTTTTATATTAACAAGCAGGAACCATTCCATATGAACACAAACTACTAAGCATATACAACATAAAAACTTGACTACATGAATGAGTAACTTACAACAGATCTTAATAGTTCTGCTGACATACCATTCTCAAGAGAAATACAATTCACATATTGTTTTGTTTTCTTGACCTTTTTTATTTTGCAAATTACTTTAGCTGCTGTGCCAGGCTAATGAATATTCAAAATTCATAGAGGAAATTTTATTTCCATTGTTTAGTATAACATAGTCCTCTAATGCCATCAAACGCTGCTTTTCTGATTTACTCTTCACTACACATACAGTGTTCAACACTGCAAGTCATCTCCTCACTTAGGAAGAACACTCATGTATTTATAGGTGGAGATTTTAGTTTTTAAAAATCACTAAAATTTGCAACTTGATGCAATATATCTGTTCCATATGTTTATTTTTATTCATATCTGCTTAACAAACTGACAACTTGTTTTTATTGTTGTCAGCATTACACAGCTAACAGGGCAGCACAGCAGCAAGTGACAGCAAATTCTGCCTCAGGCATCGTTAGAAAAATTTGCCAGCCATCCTAAGATGGGATTCATCTCTCTGCTGTTGATGGCTGGTGATGAAAATCAATGCAGAAGCAGATTGCTTGTTTCAGAGCTTCCAGCTCAGGTCACCACATCAGTCTTTTGAAAAAGCCATTTGTCGCAAAGCTTGCTAATTTAATGTGGAAGTCACCAGTAATGCACAAGGGTCTGCTGCAGCAGCAGCTCTACATGCAAAACTTCCAAGAATTTTAAATGACAGCAGTGCAACCCATATAGATTGCAAATTTACAGCATCGTATCCCTGGTTTTAAACCACATTTTTGAAGTTAGATGCTCCTGGTCATCTTTAGCTTCAAAATTAGGCAGCTGACAAATACGCATGGGCAACACCACAGTCATGGACATTTTTATGTTTTTAATGCAGTGATTCTACAGTCTATTTGGCAGCTGGGATCAGCCCCATGTTAACACCTAAAAAAAGCTGCATAAGCCTCCCAATTTCTAATTGTATGCAAAAATAGAACTAGCAGGTATTTGCTCTGACAACTCCCAGTTGACATAACAAATCCATACTGCCTTCCTTCTTTATTCTTTAAATAGATATTGCAGGCTTGTTTACTTTGTGAAATGAGAAATAGAAAATTGTCTATAAACTCTATATTTCATTCTAGCTCAAAAAAAACCACAACAACCAGAAACGGAAGAAATCCAGCACAGACTCAACAATTCGAGAGCTACTCCAAAATTAACTTCTCTAACACATAGCCACAAATGATATTATTTTCAACAACTTTTCCTTCCTTACACGTGTATGCATCTACATAAGTGAGCTCCCACATGAATCCTTAACACTTTTGTCCTTCCTCCCAGAGTCCCTCCTTGGAAGGGAACACATCACCCTCCTGGCACCCAGTCAAAGCAAAAGCAACTTCCCTGGGACTCAAGTCCACTGACACAGGCCCTCTTATGGGTCCATTATGTAACCAGTTATTTGATTTTCTTCTCAGCCTCGCAAACTGAGACCTGAATCATTCAGTTCTGATCATACGTTAACAGACATCAAATAGCTCATGTGAAGGTTTGTCAGCAAAATATTTTGACTGTTTCCTACAGATAGTTAAACTGAAGTATGATGGCATAGAGTATGCTGGACTTGTTTGGTTAGTTTTCCCCTCGGAGTCAGTTAAGAAAAAGATTAACTCAGTAAAAGAAAACATAATATTTCTCCATCATTAATCATTTGGTAAGCACACAACCCACTGTTGGATCACCAAGATTTTTGAAGGAAACTGAAGCAATAGGCCATTGAGCTGAAATGCACTATGATAACCAAAGCTCTTCTCCGCTCCTCAGTGGAGGTGCAAGTATTTCTGCAGCAGGGGTAGGTACATTAACTCATCAGCAAAGCAGCCATTAAGCGAGTTACCTGTGACAAGAAGGAGGGATGTGACTGCAGGTTTTGTGTGACAGCACAGCACTGGGGCCTCACACAGGCTATTTACAGGTGAAGGTAAAGGAACTCACATGAAGTATTGGTTGTAAATTGCCCTAATAGAAGTTTTTATTTAAATGCTAAGTATTATCAGAAGGAAACAGAAGAGTTGATGGGTTTTATACTCTAGATAGTCTTTGCAAGGATTTTTCTGTGGAAAAGATACTGAAGAACCATGAATCCAGGCATGGATCTAACTGATGGACTGGGATGCAAGCAAAGCTGATAGAAGAGACCACTGTTGGAAATAAGAGAAAATGGGTAATTCCAGAATAAATGTGGGTATGCAAGTGTCAGGAAATTTTGCTGTCAAAATAGACCTGTTTACTGTAAGGCTGCTGGGCAATAAGGTTTTTTATTTGTTTTGGTTTTTTTTTTACTAGCATATTACTTGTCATCATTTCAAATGACTGAATTATCTACTCAACATTTTTATTAGGCTACTAACTGCTTAAACATTAAACATCTGCCTAGTAATTTGAAGATGTGTTCAAACTCAGTGTGTTAACCTCATGTGACTTCAGAGTGCCATCGAAGTGAATCAATTTTATGGCTGTTATTATAAAGCAAAATAATGTCTTTAAGCTGTAGGG